GAAAAGCCCTGGCTAAACCTCCCCCTGTCCTGGTAGCCCCGCTCCTCCCTGGAGATGCCCCGGGCTGGCACCGCTCACCCCCACCCTCCCCAAACCCTCTGCCCTGGGGTTCCTCTTCCCAGCCCTGGCTCCCCCAGGCTGGGGTGGGAGGAGCAGGTGGAGCAGGGATTCTCTCCCCCACCATTCCCACAGGACCCCAGCACGCTCCCACCTTGCCCCTTCCCACGGGAGCCTGGCATTTCCCCACAGGCCACACCTCACCAGGCATTGCCATGCCCATGGGAAGAGGTGACATCCAGGAGAGACATCCAGGCTCCAGAATTGCCACCCAACTTTCCCACAGGCTGTTTTCTCTCTTCCCTTTTGGCCTCGAGTGGAATTCTCCTCCCCCTCTATTTTAATCCTGTCTTCTGGGAATTTATAGATCAGGAGGGAGAAATGAGGGATAGGGATACGTGCACCCACTAATAGGCACTGAGCACATATTGACACAAGGTGTAATCAATCTGGGAGCTAAGAAGAGCTGAACCAGCACAGCTCAGCCAGCCAAAACCCACAAAACCTAGTTGGGAAGTTTAAACAAGGCCTGCCTGCAGCAGGGAGCAGGTTTATCACTGCCTCCAGCAGCTCCCCCCCAGGGAAATATCGAATGAGATGCAATGGGAAAATAAGGAGGGTAAATAAGGAAATCCCTTCCCACTGTGGTTGTGGTGCAGGGAGGAGCTGGACCCATCTCCACCTTTAGAGATCCTTGAGGCATCTCCTCCAGGCCTATCTCCACCTCTAAACCTCCCTGGCAGCCTCTCCTCCTGTGCCAGCAGATGCTGGGACCCTGCAGGTGTTGGTTCCTGCCCCCCAGACCCCCTCTGCTCAGTGATCCACAGCTCCACAGCCACTCTGGGGACCTCGCTTTGGGTCCCCACCATGGGAGTCCCCTTCCCAGTGTGGACCCCCCCATCTGATCCCCCCACCACTTCAGCTCCAGCAGATAAACTCCCTGGCTGGGACCAAAGTCTGAGCCCCTCCCCTGGTTGCCATGGAGAAGGCTGTAATGGTATTATGAAAAGCAGCAAAATCATTAAAAAGTAGTTTTTAAACCTATTTAAACTTTAAGGAATCATTTACCTTCCCCAGCAGCTCTCCTGTGCCTGCAGGTCCCTCCCCAGGGAGCTTTCCCAGTCCCTCTGGGTGGGACAAGCCAGCAGCTGTCCCTGTGGTGTCCCTGGGCTGGCTGAGCTGGGGAGGGGACCGGGATCTGCTGTGGGAGCTCAGGAGATCCCTGCTCCATCCCCAGCCAGCCAGGGTGAGCGCCCAGAGGCTCCACCAGGGCTACAGCACCCACCCCATGGGCCCTGAAGGGAGCAGGGAGGTGACACGTGGGCCACTGGCACAGCTCAGGGAGTATTTTTAGCAAATCTTGCCAAATATTGTTCCTGTCTGGGGGAGAGCATCTCACGTTGCCAGGGTAACCAGCGCTCCTGCTCCTCGTTCAGGACCAAAAGCGTGCCCAAAAAAGAGGGGAGGGGTGACACCACAGGGCTTGTGCCACTCTTCTGGGGACACCAGCAGGGACCAAGGCCCAGGAGTGGGGCTTTGCCTGATGCTCTCTGTCCAGCCACATTTGGGTCATTCTGGTCCCTGCTGCTGGACATGGGCACCAGGAAGTGGTGGCAGCTGCTGGTGAAGGTCCCCATCTCTGAGTGCCACCTGCTGCCCTGCCACAAAGCAGGGGCTGCTGTGGGAGCTTGGGAAAGGTTCCTGATGCCAGTTACTGTCCTGGGGGCCACATGGAACCACAGCACCAGCCTGGCCAGACTGCTTGGGCTGGGAGAGGTGAGGACGTCCCCAGGACGTGACTCAGGGTGGCCACAGCCATTGCTGGAGGCCAAGATGGGAAAATTCCCAAACACTGCAGTGTGGGGAAAAGAGGGGACCCTGGGAGCAGGGATTTGGAGGTGCCTGAAGGCAGGAGGGAAGTGGCTGTGGGAATGGAGCTGCACTGGGGGAGTGAGCGGAGGGAAGGGAGGCCACCCTGCCTAACTCATCCCATGACAGTGCCAGGGTGGGCAGGGAGATGGGAATGGTGTTTTCCATGCCCCGTGTCAGCTCTCCTGGACATGGAGGGAGCAGCCTGTTCCTCGGGGTGCCTGGGTGGAGGGACGGGCTGGGTGAGGCAGAGGGACCGTGCTGCTTCCCCTGGCTGTGGTCACAAGGCTCCAGCCCCACCCCCCCTGCCCCATCCCAGCCCCCGGGGATGCCAGGGGGTGACAAATGGGACATGGGGTGGCAATGGGTGCTGGCAACCCACGAACCCCCCAACATCTCCTGGGCTGCATCACAAGACGGGTGTTCATCACAAGAGATGATTCTCCCCCTCAGCTCCCTCTGGAGCTCACCAACATCCATTCCTGGGATCCCAGGACAGGGATGGGCCAGAGCAGATCCAGAGGGGACCCTGGAGATGGTTGGGGGCTGCAAGAACCTTTCCTGTTCTTTCTGGGGGAGCTGAGAGAGGATCTGCAGCCCCCTCCTCCACTCCCTTCTCCAGGCTGGGGAAGACCTTGTGGCAGCCTGAGGGCTTGGGAAAGTGACAGAGAAAAGCTTTTCCTAGAGCAGGGAGAAAGACAGGTGATTTAAACTGGAAGAGGGTGGATTTAGGCTGGCTATAAAGAGAAAATGTGCTGGGAGGGATGGGTGGGGGCCCAGAGGATTCCCCATGGCTGGGACAGCGAGGCTCGGGAGGTGCTGCCCTGGCATCCCGGCAGGAATTCGGCAGAGCCGGGAGCGGACGGGAATTCCCTTTGCTGGCGCTGGAAGCCAGATGGAGCCAGTCACTGCAGAACTCCGTGAGCCTCCCCGCTGCCCCTGGGGACACGGGGCCATGCGGGACCCCGCCGAGGGCTGCCAGGAGAGAGGTGACAGCAAACAGGGGCTCGGTGCCTGAGAGCTCCAGAGCTTCTCCTGGAGCTCCTGCGCCTTTGGGAGCGGCTCCATCTCCTCAGCCGCATTCCCGGGGCTGCGCACCCGACAAGAGGAGGGAAAAGCTCAGGACAGAGCTGGGATTTGGGTCCGGTGGGGTTGAGTGCTTTAGTCCGGAATGGGGGTGGGGATTCAGTGATACCCCAAAACTTCATTCCTCAGCCCCAATCTGCTTTTTGTGGCGTTGCCGGGGACAAAACCGGCTCGGTGTTCCCACCCCGTGGGAGAAGCGGTCACTGTCATGGTGTGAGTGACAATCCTCTATCGTGTTTATCTGCACGAGTCCATCATCATCCTCCGCAGGGCTGGGGAGCACCCGAGCCATGGGTGCGGCTGTTCCCCCCCAGATCAGGGGCTGTGGGATGGAGGTGCCCATCCTCGGGGTGTCCATGTGGGGCTGAGACCCCTCGGGACACCCCCGGGGAGCGGAGCTGCTGCTCAGCCCCCTCCGAGGCTCCCGGCGCCGTGGGCAGGGTGTGAATGCGGCTCCGAGCCGGGTGTGAAGAGACTGTGAATTCTCATCAACACTTTCATTACCTTAATAAAATTACTTCAGGTCTGTTAAGTTCTTTTGCAGAAAAACAAGCCGTAATTGCAGGGTTTGCTCGCTTCTCCTTCTCTGATCCCCCTGAAATGCTCAGCCCCTGGGTCTGGCCTCTGTGCACCTTCCCTGGGGGGCTCTGGGGTCTCCTCCAGCAGCCTGGAACAGGTGAGGAGCTCTGCTGCTCATGGAGGTTCTGTCAGGATGGCCCCTCTCCCTCTCATCTGCTGAGCTCTGACAGATCCTGAAGAGTTATTCAGAGCTCTGGGCTTTTTTGAACATTATATTGTCAAAGCTTTTTTTCTGTGGGAGACAGATTCTTACCTAAACTCACCCACTCTACAGAAATAGCAGCAATAATAAGCCTGAAATGAGGAGATTAAGAGCTGGAATTCATTTTAGAATCATGGAAGACTTTGAGTTGGAAGTGACCTTTAAAGATCTCATCTGATTTTACCCCTGTTCAAACTTTTCCAGGGTTATCCACTCTGCCCTGCACTCCCTGTTACCCTCACGCTGACCCTGGAGATTCTTAAAATGCTTTTGGTTGTGGCATTTCTCCCGTTCCAGCCTGGCAGGTCCCAGTTTGGAGCCAGCAGCAGCACCCAGACCAGCACAACCCAGATTTAGCATTGTCTGGGCTAATCTGGGCTTGTTCCAGTGCGTGCTTTGCTTTAAAACATCTTTTTCCACACCACAGCTCTGATGAGAAAGGATGAATTGGGAAAGGTCTTTCCTGCCTCCCAGAACTCAGAGATCCAGGGACCTTCTGGGCACAGGAGGTTCAAGGACTGCACAGATCAAGAGGAAATTGCCTGGAAGAAAATGAGATACCGTGGGATGGGCTTGGAGCAGGTGGTTGGGTTAGTGGGTTAATTATTGGGTTAATCAGACCTTGGAATCATGGAATGGTTTGGGTTGGAAGGGACCTAAAAGCCCATCCAGTGCCACCCCCTGCCATGGCAGGGACACCTTCTGTTATCCCAGGCTGCTCCAAGCTCCATCCAGCCTGGCCTTGGACACTTGCAGGGATCCAGGGGCAGCCACAGCTTCTCTGGGCACCCTGTGCCAGGGCCTGCCCACCCTCCCAGGGAACAATTCCTTCCCAATATCCCATCTAACCCTGCTCTTTACTCATTCTAAATTTCTCCTCTATCACTTTAAGATCTCTCCCCTTGTTCTATCACTGCCAGCCCAGGTAAAGGGTCGCTCTCCCCCCTCTTGTCAGCTCCTGAAGCACTGGAATATCCCTGCAGGCAGGTTTGGGGATGCTCCAGCACAAGGGCTGGTTCCCCTCGCTGGCAATATCGCTGTCCTGGGCCGGTTCCTGAGCTGTTTGCTCCCGTGCCTGCCGTGGGCTGAGCTGGGAGCACAGAAACTCCTGGCAAGTGCCTCTGTTTCCCTCCCAGGGTGGCTGTAAGATTTGGAACCACCTTAAAATCGAGGTGGAAGCCACACCCTCTGGTAGCCCAAGTTGGTAGCAACAGTGCTGGACCTCCTGGGAGAGTTCCTTAGAGATCCCTGGGTCCTTCCTCGGCTTCTCAGTCGCTGCCTGCCCAACGCTGTGCAGAGATCCCGGCCTCTGAGCACATGGATCTCGGAATTGTTGCAGAGAATGAGAATGTGAGTATCCTGCAGAGCTAATGGAAAATACAGGGGTGAAGGTCTGCAGCTCCTTCCCAGGCCGTGGAGCCAGCACTCTGCCAAGGAAATCCTACCTGCAGGGGAGAAAGGGCAGCTGGAAAGCCTGGCTGGAATTTGTTGAGGTTCTGGGAAGCTGGGTGTGCTGAGCTGTTCCAGCAGCAGTGGTGGGCAGGGGGAGAGGAGGGCTCGGCTGGAGCTGCTCTGTGCCTCCAGGTGCAGCTGGAGGACAGGAACCAGGACAGGCACCAGCTTGGAGACCCACAGGAGGAGATGGGGAAGCTGCCGGGCTCCAAGACAGACTTCCCAGCCAGGATGGTCCTCAGTGAAGAGGAAAAGCTAAAGGTAAAACTTTGGGAGTCAGAACTGGGCTGTGGAGCCGTGTGAGGCCATTTCCCCCCACAGATGGGAAATCTGGGGGGAAATTTCTCTTTCTGGAGGGGGATGTGTTGTGCTCAAACATCACACTGGCCTCAGAACCCATCCATGGCCTTCACTGCCTTTCTCTCTCCCAGATTTCCAAAGACCTCGTGGATCTCCAGATCGAGACAAACAAAATGAAGGAGCATTACGAGACTGAGAACTTCAAACTGAAAAATACGGTACCCACATTTGGGAACAGCCAATTCCAGCACTGCCATCACCTTCACCCAGCTCTGCAGCTCCTGACACAGCCACCCTTACCTTGCTTGGCATCTCCTCTGCCTTTAGCTGGAGCTGAGTTCCCCCCCAGCACCCCAGATCCCGAGAGCTCCCATGAAATCATCTCCCTGTTCTTGCTGGCCCGTGCCAGGTGTGACCCTGCTGCCCCCCCTGTGCAGATGCAGGCCCTGGAGAGGAGGGTGCAGGAGCTGGAGCTGTGCAGTGCCAGCGTGACTTGGGAGCGAGATTCCCTGCGGGAGCGCCTGCGCGCCCTGGAGAGCAGCCGGCAGGAGCTGGGGGAGGAGTTCATCATCCTGAAGAGCAATTACCTGGCCCTGGGCAGAGAGCTGGACCAGGAGGTGAGAGGGGCCACACTGCTCATCCCAGAGCTCGTGCCAGGGCTTATCCCAGAGATCCCAGCTCACCTCACATTTCCCTGCTGTGGGGGCACCTTGCTTGGCTTTTGGTTGTGCATCCCCATCACAGCTCAGGCCGAGGGAGGCTGCTCATAAAATTGTACAAAAGTTCTTGTTGAAGTGACCTCTTAAAGGCCACCAAGTCCACAAAAACCATCCAGTGCCACCCCTGCCATGGGCAGGGACACCTTCCACCATCCCAGGCTGCTCCAAGCCCCATCCAGCCTGGCCTTGGGCACTTCCAGGGATCCAGGGGCAGCCACAGCTTCTCTGGGCACCCTGTGCCAGGGCCTGCCCACCCTCCCAGGGAACAATTCCTTCCCAATATCCCATCCATCCCTGCCCTCTGGCACTGGGAAGCCATTCCCCCTTGTCCTGTCCCTCCATCCCTTGTCCCAAGTCCCTCTGCAGCTCTCCTGGAGCCCCTTTAGGCCCTGGAAGGGGCTCTGAGGTGTCCCTGGAGCCTTCTCCTCTCCAGGTGAGCACCCCCAGCTCTCCCAGCCTGGCTCCAGAGGGGCTCCAGCCCTTGGGGAATCTCCATGGGCTCCTCTGGACTCTCTCCAGCAGCTCCACGTCCTGCTGCTGTTGGCCCCAGGGCTGGAGGCAGCTCTGCAGGTGGGGTCTCACCCGAGGGGGCAGAATCCCCCCCTCCCCACTCTGGGGGCTCAGCCCAGCACGGGGGGTTCAGGGTCCCAGCACACACAGCCAGGACTTGTGCAGCCTCTGAGCCTGGGATTGTCTCCAGGGATTTGGAGATGTAACCCAGCTCCATCTCACAGGGTGTGTGGGACCTGCCCTTGCTGTGGGGACAGGGCTGGGGACAGGGCTGGGGACAGAGTGGGACAGAGAGGGAAAGGGCTGGCACAGAGGGGGACAGAAGGGGACAGAGGGGCACAGGGCTGGCACAGAGGAGGACAGAGGGGGACAGGGCTGGGGACAGAGGGGGACAGAGGGGCACAGGGCTGGCACAGAGCGGGACAGAGGGGGACAGGGCTGGCACAGAGGGGGACAGGGCTGGCACAGAGGGGGACAGAGGGGGACAGGGCTGGCACAGAGGGGGACAGAGGGGGACAGG